AACCCCAAACCAACTACCACAGGTTTGTCTTTATTTAAAATGTCACGGCAGCTGGGTGTGGTGGCGCACACCTATAATCTCAACACTTGGGAGGCTGAGGCAGGAGGATTGCCACAAGTTTGAGGCCAGCCTGGGTTACATAATGAGTTCAGGGGCAGCCTGAACTATACAGTGCTACCCTGTCTCAACAAACAAACAAACAATATTATGGGAGAACCTCACGATGTCTCTGTGGAAAAGGAAATCTACTGACTAGAGCTGATTGGTAAACTAGGTTGCTAGTGCGTACCGTAATTCCAGCATTATGGGGCGCTGATGCCAGAGAATCACAGATTCGAACCCAGTTTGGGCAATTTAGGGATGAAGGGAAATTTGAGAAGAGCTGGTGATATAGTTTAGTGTGAAGGTCCTGGTTGAATTATTAGTACTAAAAAACAAAACAAAACAAAGCAAAGCAAAACACCAAACAGGTTGACAGCATTACTGAACATGGCCCATTCTGCCTACCTTGCATTATATCAACCACTGGTTTTGCAGAAGAGAGTTTATTTATAAAGTGGCCCAATTTGAGGCAATAGGAGATCGACCTCTCAAACAAGTCTCCCTGAAGATAGAGTTTACGCTTATTTATGAGATTAAAAAAGTTATGGGGAGATAGCTCAGTGGCAGAAGCTCCTACCTGGCAAGTGCAAGGTCCTGAGTTCGATTCCTGGTACAAAAAAAAAAATCAGGGCGATAGGGTCTGGTCAAAGATGATTAGCAGTAAGGAGTGAGTGGCCCGCACATGTATAAGGAGATCGCTCTGGCTCTTGTGAAACACATTCGAGCCGGGCTTGCTGGTGCATCCCTGTTATACTAGCTGAGGCAGGAGGGTCTCAACCTCAAGCCCAGTATGGGGAATTTAACACTTAATGAGAGCTTGTCTCAAAATAAAAATACAAAAGAAGGGCTGGGGGACATAGCTTAGTATGAAGGCCCTGGGTTGAACTGCTGGTACTGCCCAAACAAACAAACAAACAAACAAAACCTACCAAAAAACCATGTCTGGAAATTGAATGCATCTGCATGCTCTGAGGATGGAGTTTTTGGCCTTGTGATGTCAAATGGTCACCCACTGGATACACATAGGTCCTAGTGAAGGGTCGCTGGTTTCAATCTATTTGAGCTACCTCCAAGTTGAGCTACCTCCAAGTTTGTGAAAAACAACTTAGATAACCGTCACCATGTGACTGTTACATCTCAGGTGTTATCTGTAGCAAGGCTAATGGCAGTATACCGCTTAGCTACATGGCCTCCAGAGTAAGTGATAAAAGCAAGTCACCCACGGGCCATGGTGGTACCACCTGTAATCCCAGCTCTGTGTAAGGCTGAGGTAGGAGGATTGCCAGGTTGAGTCTGCCTGGGAAATTTAGAGAAACCCTGTCTCAGAATTAAATAAAATAGGGCTGGGGGCTGGGCTTGGTGGTGCATGTCTGTAATCCCAGTACTTGGGAGGCTGAGGCAGGAGGATCATTGCGAGTTCGAGGCCAACCGGGCTACAAAGTGAGCTCAAGGCCAGCATGAACTGCATAGTGAGATCCTGTCTCAAAAAAAAAAAAAAAAAAAAAAAAAAAAAAAGGGCTGGGGATATAGGTAAGTGGTATCAAAATTTCTTTTCTTTTTTTTTTTGTTTTTTTGAGATAAGGTCTCACTATGTAGTCCAGGCTGGCCTTCAACTTGCTATGTAGCCCAAGCTAGCCTGTAATTTGCCATGCCTTAGCTTCCTGAGTGCTGAGATTATAAACATGCGCCAGCATACCTGGCTAAGAAATTTTTTTTCCCTCCATCCTGCATTCAGAAATTATCACATTCTTTCAATTTTATTTTAAATACATATTCTTACATTATATACACATATATATTCCAAAATCAATACTTTTCATCATTTTTTTTTCTTTTTGAGATAGGGTCTCGTTATATAGTCCAGGTTATGGCCTGGAACTCACTAACCAGCTCAGGCTGGCCTTGAACTCTCTGAGATCTTCCTGCCTCAGCCCCCTAAGGGCTGGGATTACAGATGTACATGTGCTGTCACACCTGGCCACTTACCATCATTTTTTTTTTTTTTTTGGTACCGGCAATCGAACTCAGGACTCTGCCCTTGCCAGACAGGCACTTATGCCCCCCGGGCCCCACTTTTCATCATCTTAATGGCTCAGTTCTAAAGTTCAGTTCTAGCTCTCATCACCCACTGGGCTACTGAAAGACCTCCCATTTGACCCATTGCTTCCATTTGTTACTTCCTCCACAGCGGCATATTTTCCCTGAAGTAGACAGAAAAAAAAAATCTTTTAAATTTAAATATTGGGCTGGGGATATAGCTCAGTGGTGCGGTGCTTGCCTAGGATGTGTGAAGCTCAGAGCTCAACCTGTTCAGTTTTGACACCAGATAGAGCAAGAGATAGATAAAACAAGCCTTTTTTGCCCAGCGTGGGAGGGTCGCTGGAGATTGCAAGGACTCTGGGAGGAGGGAGCTGGGGGACTGGTTTTTATTAGATTGGACTAGAGGAGGAGAAAATATGGGCAGGCGATGTGTCCTATCTCGAGGGAATTGGGAGTCAGTTGGTGCGTGCGCAAAAGAGAGTAAGAAAGTTTACCTTAGGGTCTGAAGAAGAACAAAGAAGTGTGTGTGTCGGCCAGCGCCATTTTGGGGATTCTGGATGTGTATCACAACCTCCAGCACCCTCCACCCCAAGTAAAGATTACTGTGACACTTCCAGTGGAAATTCTTCCAATAAGTTCCCACTGTAGAGTAAACATGAAACTTTTCATAATTCTATGGAAGACACACTACATCTGGCCACTCTTTACCTCTCCAAACGAGTTTAGGGTAACTCTCAACTTGGTTCACTCTACTTAAGCAGTATTGGTTTATTTCCGTTCCCATAAATCGAATTATGGAGTGCTGGTGCCTGCTTGACACCCCAGCCTTTTGGGAGACTAAGGTGCAGGATGGGAAGGTGAAGCTCAGTCTGGGAGATTTAGCGATTGAAAAAGAGCCTGATTCAAAATAAACATGAAAAAAAGGGTTCAGGATGCAGCTCAGTGCAAAGGCCCTGGGTTGAATCCTCAGTATCACAAAACAACAACAACAACAACAAAACCCCCAAAAACCCAGAACCACATTTGAGACAACAAATTAGTCAGTGATGGACAGCAATACAAGCTGAAAGAATTGCTTTTCTTTTCTTTCTTTTTTTTTTTTTTTTTTTTTTTTTTTTTTTTTTTTTTGAGAAAATCATGTCTTTCCATGTTGTAGTTAATTTTTTTTTTGTCTTTTTGAGACAGGGTCTCCTTATGCAGTACAGGCTGGCCTTGAGCTCACTGTGTAGCCCAGGCTGGTCTCGAACTCACAAAGATCCTCCTGCCTCAGCCTCCCAAGTGCTGGGATTACAGGTGTGCACCACCATGCCCGGCAGGAATTTCAAATACTGAAAAGATTCTTTCTTTAGTGAGTTGAATGTAGGAAGCACATTTTTTATTCTGGTGGTGCTCTTTATTAAAACCAGGGCCTCACTCATGCTAAAAATGCACTTTGCCATCCATTGATCTATAGCCTCAGGCAGGAAAAATGGAACCTTTTCCTTCTCTTCTTTTTAATATTTATTTATTTTTGTGTACTGTGGCCAACTCAGGAATTTTCTGCCCCTGAGCTACATACGTAGCCCTTTTTACTTTTAAACAGGATCTCACTAAATTTCCCAGACTGGCCTTGAAAAGGCCGCAGCCTTTGAGTAGTTGGGATTAAAGGCATGCGCCACCAACATTCCATATCTTTGGTTAGCCAAAATGGAAACGTTAGCCTGATAAATGACACACTTTGAAGATTCTGTTTATCGGCACTGATTGAGTGCCCAAAGCAAAGGGGTGATTTTTTGGCTACAGTTATTTGTTTGTACACTCTCTCAATCTCTGTATCTACACATACTACATATTTCTTTATACAGCTCCACCCCAATTGTGTGTTTTCGGGAGGTATTTTTTTAAAAATAAACTTCCCTCTTTCTTTATGCTACAACCTTTTGAATACTGTTGTACCAGCCAGTTCTTTACAAAAGCCACGACTATTAATAAGCTATATCTTCATGGAATTATCGTTGGCATTACATTTGCTAATACATATGAGGTACTAAAGTAAGTGAAAGACTGCTGATCGTTCAATAAATCAGCACCTATACCTGTAACTGAGGAGGTTGGCGTGGGGGTGCACGCCTGTCATCCCAGCCCTCGGGAGGCTGAGGCAGGAGGATCCTTGCGAGTTCGAGGCCAGCCTGGGCTACAAAGTGAGCTCAAGGCTAGCCTGAACTGCATAGGGAGACCCTGTCTCAAACAGACAAAACACAAAACAAAACAAAACTAAAAAACCCCAACAATAAGGGAGATGTAAAATTGACGTAATAGGCGTGATTCTACAAAGAAGCTCAATTGACAAGATTACCGCCGCGCCTCTTAGTCACCACCTGCTCGGCTCGCGGGCTGAGCACAGCGGCCAGCCGGCTCGGCTCCGGAAGGTAAACACATCGCGAAGGGCGTGGCAGGAGGCGGGCTCGAGATGCGCGAGTGGCCAGCTACAAGTGATTGGCAGCTGCCACGTCCACGTGCTTTGAGCTTCGAACCAGCTGTCGCGAGAATTCGATGTAAACAGACCAACACTCCCTGTCCTCTGGTCCCAATCTCAGACGCTTGGGTGAGGTCGGCAGGAGCCTGGGGCGTGTTGCTTTAGAAAAAGAAAGCCACGAAGGTTTTGCTTGCACGTAAAATAGACCAAGTCGTAACTCGTTTCCACTTGCCTGCGTTCGCAACCGAACCTGACAATCAGCTTCACCCGAATTTACATACTGTTGTGTTTTCCCTCCAGCCCCAGCGGATTGGGTAAATCCAGGAGGCGGGTCCGCCTCTTTTCTACTTGCTGGTTGGCGAAGCTGACCTCCAAGGGCGGTGCCCAGGCCCGGCCAATTCGCTTTTGCGATTGGCTAGTGTGGTGGTTCCGCTGAGGCGTGGTAGGAAGTGGTAGCCGTCAATCACAAGGGAGACTCCAAACAGTGAGCCTGGAGCTGGAGAACAGCGTTTACCGGCGGAGCGGCCGGTGAGCGGGCTGGCGGGTCTTCGGCTTTGGGGAGCCTTGGGGAACGCGAGGGGCAGGCAGCGTGAGGGGACAGGGCTTGGCTGGCCGTAGCTTGACAGGGTAGAGGTGTCGAGACTGCAGGGGGAGGGGAGAAGGGCAAGGGCCAGAGGGCGGCCGGGGGCAGCGTTGGCTCCGCGCTGGAGGTTGAGTGGGCAGCGTCGCGGCGGCGTCTTGCAGGGAAGGTGGCCTGAGGGGTGCGGAGGGTCGCCGTCAGTGACAGAGCCTTCCAAGGACGGGGCTCGGCGGACTGGCTTGGAAGAGAGAGGGTGGAATGGAAATGAGAGGGCCTGGGGGGCTGGAGGGGAAGGGCACCCCTCCAGGAAGGGGTGGCTGGGCGAGCTGGGCAGAAGGTGTTGGGGCTGTAGGAAGTGGACTCAGCAGGTTGGGAGTTTCATACAAGGCGATGGAGTGCTCGCTGCTCAGAAGTGATGCTTTCAGGCTAGGTCCAGGCTGTGGGCTCTCCTCGGTCCTGTAGAGATCTTTAATATTGCTGTGGTTCTATTTTAACCTTCGCCCTGTGTTCTTTTTTTTTTTTGGTCTTTTTGAGACAGGGTCTCGCTATGCAATTCAGGCTGGCCTTGAGCTCACTTTGTAGCCCAGGCTGGTCTCGAACTTGGAACGATCCTCCTGCCTCAGCGTCCCGAGGGCTGGGATTACAGACGTGCACCACCACGCCCGGCCCCCCCTGTGTTCTTAAAATCTCAGGGACTCAGGGGTTCACCCGGGGCTCAGGATTTAGGGATGGGACGGGAAAGGACAAGGGGCTTCGCGCCTGTTACAAGTTTATATTACATGTTTGTCTAGACTGATTAGGTCATAGTAGCCAAAGGTTATAGTTGAATGGTGGCCATGCAGTTTTATTCATAGATTCTCAACAGGTTAAATCGGACAGAGTGATAGCATATCACTGTTCCATCGGTTTTGAACTATTATATGTAATTTCACTATCTCAACAGAAACTTGAGGAAATTTTTAAAATTTGGCTCACAAAGAAAGCCCGTTTGTTTTTATGATCCCATGTTACACTTCCCTGTTAGGATGTTGTTCTCTTTCTAGTTTTTGTTAGAACAGAAGAGCCCAGCAAGTCTTAACTGGTTTTGTGGTTCTGAGGTTTAGATAAGGAGAAAACCCTCATGATAGTTTGAAGAGAAAATTTTTTTTGGAGACATGAGTCTTGCTTTGTAGTTTAGGTTGGCCATCAATTGACTAGTCCTGGCCTGGAATTTGCAGCAGGCGTCCTGCCTCAGCCTCCTAAGTGCTGGGGTTACAGGTGTGTGCCACCATGCCCAGCTGATAATTTGGAATTTTAAAAATGTACTTCTTTTCTTGCTTTTCTAGTGTAATAGAAATTTCTGGGAATGTTTCCTCAAATGATCTACGTTGAGTAACTGCTTCTGTGTTGTTGTTCTGGAAACAGGTTTTATGAGTGAAGATATGGCTACGGATTCTCCTAGAAGACCCAGTCGTTGTACTGGTGGAGTAGTGGTTCGCCCTCAGGCTGTCACGTAAGCATATTTCAGATAAGCCTAATAGCTGATAAAATCATTACTTGGAAAAACAAAAAATAGTCACTTTTTGTTTTGTTTTGTGCCCCCCCCCCCAACCAAACTCATGACCTTGCGCTTGCCAGGCAGGCGCTGTGCTGCTGAGCTAAATCCCCAGCCCTCAAGTCACTTTTTTTTTTTGGTCTTTTTGAGACAAGGTCTCCCACTATGCATTTCACGCTGGCCTTGTGGTCACTTTGTAGCCCAGGCTGGTCTTGAACAATGAATGATCTTTCTGCCTCAGCCCCTCCTGCCTCAGCCTCCCAAGTGCTGGGATGATAGGCATGCCGCACCACGCCCAGGTCACATTTTCTTTTTGAATAGTGCTTAGTTTATGAAGATCTAATTTTGATTTGATGGCTTGAATATCCTTGTCATGGCCTAATAAAAGGAACAATTGGAGGGTTTGTTTGATATATTGGGTATATTTAAAAGTAGTTGGAGAACATTAAGTCAAATCTTTTTTTTTTTTTGAGAGTCTTGCTGTGTAGTCCAGGCTGTCTTTGAACTCATTATGTAGCCCATGTTGACCTTGAACTCGTAGTGATTGTCCTGCCTCAGCCTCCTGAGTGCTGGGATTACAGGCATGTGCCACCACACCCGGTCCACTGTGTCAAAATTTGAAGAGCAGTGTTTCTTTCAAACTCCAGGTTTTAGAAATTAGTAGATCTGCCCAGGGTGGTGGCACATGCCTGTAATCTCAGCACTCTAGGAGGCTGAGGCAGCAGGATCACCAATTCCAGGCTAGCCTGGGCAATTTAGCAATTTAGAGAGACTCTTACAAAAAAAAAAAAAGAAAAAAAAGGGTCGAGGATGTAGCTCAGTTGAAAGGCCCAGGGTTCAATCTCCATCCCCTCTCCTGCAGAGAAAGAAAATTAGTAGTATGATGCATCCGTGTAGTTGGTCAGGATCAGTATTTTAAAAAAGTGAAATGTGGTAGGGTACTTTCCCGGTGTGCTTAAGGTGCTGGGTTTGATGTCTAGCACTGCCAGTACTATCATGCACACCCGGAAAATGCAGGTAGTTCAGTTAGCATTGTTTTGTGATGTGCACAAAATTATGCTCTGTTATGTGTATATATATGATCACTACATGGTGATTTAAAATGTGTACTTCACTCTACGTTTTAGTCAGAATTGTTTTTATTTTTTTGGTAGTGGGGATTGAACCTGCTGAGCTCCATTGCCAGCCTTAAATTGCCCAGGTTGGGCAGGAACTTGCAGTCCTCCTGCCTCAGCTTCCCAGAGTGGTGGGATTATAGGCATGTGCCACCATGCCTGCTCTATATTTAGACATTCTTTGACAAAAGATATTTATATTTTCTAGGAGTTTATAATCCTTCATGGCTTAAAGAAATGTATGCTTGAAATTAGTGTAATTTTTTTTTTTTTTTTGAGAGAAGGTTTTACTATGCAGTTCAGGCTGACCTTGAACTCACTGTGTCCCTTAGGCTGGCCTCAAATTTGTGGTTATCCTCCTGCCTTAGCCTCCCAGGTGCTGGGATTACAGACATGCACTGCCATTCCTGGCTAACATAATCAGTAAAACAGTATGAGAATTCAGAGGGAGTATTTTAGTAGTGTGATCAGAAGAGATTTAAGGTAACACTTTAGAGTATATCTTTAAAGGCTAAGTAAAATTTGGGCTCTTAGAATCAAAGGTACATTTTAGGCAAAGGAAATAGCGCAAATGTAGGAAAGCTAAGCTATTTTTTATAAATGAAATTTAATTTCTGATACAGAGAAGTTGAACTGTTTAAAGTAGGTTTTGGTGGACAACTAAGACCCTTTCGTACCTAGTTAAGAAGGTGAAACTTGTTTTAAGCCTCGCCTTTTTTTGAGACAGGGTCTCACTGTGTAGTTCAGACTGACCTTGAGCGCACTGTGTAGCCTAGGCCTCAAATTTACTATAATCCTCCTGCCTCAGCTTCCCAAGTTCTGGGATTAGAAATGTGTGCCACCATACCAGGCTTGTTTTAAAATTTTAAAAATGCTTTAAGTGAACTGGGTATGGTGGTGCATGCCTATAACCCCACCACTCTGGAATGCTGAGGCAGGAAGAATACAAACTCTTAAAATCCAGGCCAGCCTGGGTAGCTTAGTGGTTTAGGAAGATCCTGTCTCAAAGAATAAAAAAGGCTTGGAGATGTAGCTCAGTATGAAGGCCCTGGGTTCAATTCTGTATACCATAGACTAAAGTGCTCTTAGTGGGAATTGTAGTAATTTGGATTATTTCCTGTGGGAAGTTTAGTATGTTACAAAATGATTGTCCTCTCATACTAACAAAAGTGTATGTATGATGTGATATTTTTTTGGTATCGGGAATCAAGCTCAGGACCTTGCGTTTGCCAGGCAGGCACTTGTGCCACTGAGCTATATCCCCCGCATAATGTGATATTTTACCAGAAGAATTTTTCCATGTTCATTTCCCAGCACGATATTTCTTTGTTATGGACCATGGCAACAAGTGAAACATATTATTACCCATGAGTTAAGTACTGTTTTTGATCTGCATTTTATAGGTGAGGAAACCAAAGCTGAAGTTAAGTCGTGCTAGGTAGCAGTGAAGAAGGGGAGCCAGATCAAGCGAAGGCACCTTGTTTAGTATTCTATGCTGCCTTACCATACAATGTTCAAGATGTATTAGTTTCCTGTAATGTAACACATGCTTTGAGTTTTTTTTTTTTTTTTTGTACCGGCAATTGAACTCAGGACCTTGCACTTGTGAGGCAGGCACTTGTGCCACTGAGCTATGTCCCTGGCCCTGTGCTGAGCTATAAACCCAGTTCTTTCTCAATTTTTTCTTTTTTCTTTTATCTTTTTGTCTTTTTGAGACAGGGTCTCCCTGTGCAGTTCAGGCTGGCCTTGAGCTCATTTTGTAGCCCATGCTGGTCTCAAACTCACAATGATTCTCCTGCCTCAGCCTTCTAAGTGCTGGGGTTACAGGCATGTGCCACCATGCCCAGCTATCCATGATAGTTTTAAAAATTTTTATTCAATTGTTTGAGACAGGGTCTCACTTTGTAGTGCAGGCTGGCTTTGAACTCACTATGTAGCTCAGGCTGGCCCTGAACTCACTATGTATCATTCCTCCCAGCGATCCTCCTGCCTCAGCCTCCCAAGTACTGGGATTATATAGAGTTGAGATGTGCGCCACCACGCCCGGCTTCTGGCTATCTTTTTCACTTTATATTGAGACAGGTTTTTGCTAAGTTGCCTAGGCTGGCCTGAAACTTAGGAATTTACAGTCCTATGTCAGCTTCCTGAGTAGCTTGGAGAATAGGTGTGTGCCTCTACACCCAGGCTTACGTTGTTTTTTAATCTTTCATTCAGTATCCTTTCATGCTTGAGCATTTACTGCATGCCTAAGTACTGGCTAACTGGTTCTGGAGATAAAAGGTATATATGAGAGGTGCATTCTTTCCTACATTAGAGCTTATATTCTGGTAGAGGGAAATAGTGAATAAGTACATTAACAATTAGAAGATGTCATCTCTGCCCAGTGCACCATGATGGAAAATGATTGGTGCCTATGCATAAGGTTGTCAGGAATGGGCTCTCCAAAGCGGTAGTTAAACTGGAGATACTGCCTTTCATTTATTTACTTTTTTTGCAACAGCATCTGCGACATAGTGCATGCTGGCTCTGAGCTCACTATGAAGCCTTACTGTGACTCTCCTGCCTCAGTCTCTTACAGGCGTGCACCACCACACCTGACTAAGAGACATTACTTTGAAGGAAAGTGTATGGAAAGGTATCGAGCAGAAAGAATGGTGTAACGGTCTTGATTCAAAGAAGAGCTTGATGTATTCTAGGAATTGGGGTTGTGTAAAGGTGAAGCAGAGTAAGTTAGAAGAATGGCAAAAAAAAAAAAACCCCAAAAAAAATGCAAGTCAGAGAGGTTCTAATCTCTCTCTCAGTCTCTTTGTCTCTTCTTTTTGTTTTTGTTTTTGTTGCCTGTTATTGAACGCAGGGATTCATACATGCTAAGACAGGTGCTCTGCTGCAGTTACCCCTAGGCCCCAGACTACTCATTTTTGTTGTTCGTTTTTACGCCGAACCAAATATTATCAGTCTCAAAGGTATATTGTTTGTTCTGAGATTTAGGGTAATTCATTATTTTCTAAAAGTGTAATTTTTTCACATCTTTCATGGCATACATTTGATTCAGTATGTTTTATTTATTGTTTGCTCACTGAGCTATATCCTTAGCTCCTTTCATTTTTTTATTTTGAGACATTCTTCCTAAGTTGCTAAATTGCCCAAGCTGGGCTCAGATTTGTGATCCTTCTGCTTGAGGCTTGCACAGTTCTGGGATTACAGGCATGTGCCATCACGCCCAGTTGATCTAATGTTTTGAAGAAATTGTTTTTCTCCACTTGATGACATCCATATACTTCCCATTTAAAATATCTCCCCAGCCCCAAGCCATGAGTGTGCTGCTACTGACCTACATTCTCATTCTCCCATCTCTATCCCTGTCTCTCTAATCTGTATCTATCTAGTGCAGTACTAGAGACTGAACCCATGGGCCGTTTACCATTAAGTTATATCCCCAGCATTTTTTTTTTAGACAGGCCAGTGTTACCCAGGCTGGCCTGAAAGTTATACACTTCTTGCATCAGTTTCCTAAGTACCTGGGATTACAGGTGTGTGCCACCATGTTTAAAATATCTCCAGAGGTAGACATGTTATCACATGACTGTAACCCCAGAATTTGGAAGGCTGAGGCAGGAGGATGGCAAGTTGGAGGCACAATAGGGCTACGTAGTGAGTTTAAAGTCAGCCTGGAGTACATAGGGAAAATATCTGAAAAAGAAATCTATCTATGTCTATATTTATATCTCTTGCCTAGCATACATAAAATCCTGGGTTCAGGGGCTGGGGATTTAGCTCAGCGGCAAAAGCGCCTGCCTGGCAAGCGCAAGGTCGTGAGTTCGGTTCCTGGTACCGGAGAAAAACCAAAAAAAAAAAAAAAATCCTGGGTTCACTTTCCAGTACTAAAAAACCAAACAGACTTCATTTACTGTCCTTAACAGTGTTGACTTTCCTCACTTTTTTTTCCTTTTTTTGTGCCTTGTGTGTGCCAAAAGTTCTGTAAGGACTTTTTTTGGATTTTTTTTTTTTTTTTTTGAGACATTGTCTCACTATGTGGTTCAGGCTGGGCTTGAGCTCACTTTGTAGCCCAGGCTGGTCTCAGACTTGCAACAATCCTCCTGCCTCAGCCTCCCGAGTACTGGGATTACAGGTGTGTGCCACCACGCCTGGCATGGAAGGACTTTTAATATTTTTGTTGTAGTGCTTGCTCCTGCAGCAAAAAATGCAGACTGATTTTGCAACATACCGGTCGCAGCTCAGGGACTTGGTTCCCAAACAATTTATGTTTTTTTTTTGTTTGTTTGTTTGTTTTTGGTCTTTTTGAGACAGGGTCTCCCTATGCTGTTCAGGCTGGCCTTGAACTCACTTTGTAGCACAGGATGGCCTCGAATTTGCAACGATCCTCCTGCCTCAGCCAGATGCTCCTGCCTTAGCCACCAGAGTGCTGGTTACAAGCGTGTGCCACCACGCTGAGCTACCTCAAACAGTTTAAAGAGAAGGTTACTAAATACTGGGTCATTAGCCACAGTTTTTCTTGCTCCCATAGGGTGTTCTACTCTTGTTTCCTTAGCCAGGTCTGTTGTATTCATGCCTTCAAATATGAGGTGAATGTTACCTTTAGCAAACAGGAAAACATGTCTCTTTTTTTTTTTTTTTTGAGACAGGGTCTTGCTATGTAGTTTAGACTGGCCTTGAATTCACTATGTAGCCCAGGCTGGCCTTGAACTCCCAGTGATCCTCCTGTCTCTGCCTCTGGAGTGCTGAGATTACAAGTGTGTGCCACCAAGCCCGGCTAAGCACGACTTTTTAAAAGAGATAATTAAAAATGCTAAAATCTTAGAAAGTGCACAGGCAGAATTATCAGGTAATAAAGATTTGGCCTTTTTTTTTTTTTTTCTTGTTTTCATATTATGAATGACCTCGTTAGGGCTCGTCAGTAGAGCTTTCTCATGGCATGAGCTGTGATGACAGATTTATCCATCTCACCCTTTTTCAGAGAGCAGTCCTACATGGAGAGTGTTGTGACTTTTCTGCAGGATGTGGTGCCACAGGTAAGTGTGTATGTCTGATTGCAAAAATAGTTTTAACTTTGACCAGGGAAGCTCTGAAACGTTGTTTCCGGAGTCTCTCACTAGTGTGAGCAGCTGCACAAAGTCTTCTGACATTTTGGCGTCCTGAGCACGGCTGGGGTGGAGCTATACTTGTTACCGTGTAGACTTGCCACAGTTCTGTGATGACAGTGGCGTAAGTATGACTGCTTAGGACTTGCCCTGCGAATAAGAAGGAAGGCGAGTTGCTCGTCGAGAGTTGGGATATAGGACTCTCCAGCTGGGTTCTGTCTCCAACACCTTTTTTTTGTCCAAGTTAAGCGGCATTTGGGAGTGAGGTATAGCTTTTTCTGAAATGTAATGTAACTTATCACTTAACATGTTTTTGAAAATAAGACAGTGTCCACACTTCTGTCCCATAGAGTGTGATGCAGTGAAATCAACATGGTGTCTAGTAACTTGTACTTACAGTATAGTTGTTAGGTATGTATTATTTTCTCCTTGTGATGCCAGTCTTCTGACTGCCATGGTGGTATTTTTTTTTTTTTTTTTTTAAGAGGCAGGGTCTCACTATGTCGTTCAGGCTGGTCTTGAACTCACCATGTATTCACTGTGTATCCCAGATCGGGGTTGAACTAGCGGTGATGCTGCTGCCTCAGCCTCCTGTGTGATTACAGGCATGTGCCACCATACCCAGCTCTGCCATGGTGGCTTTATTTTTTGAGACAGGGTCTTGCTCTGTAGTTCAGGTTGGTCTTGAACTCAGTACGTAGCCTGTGTTGGCCTTGAATTCATGACGGTGCTCCTGGCTCAACCTTCCGGGTGCTGGGATTACAGGTGTGCGCAACCCTGTCCACCTTGCCATGATGTTTTCAGCTGTGCTGTTCTAAAAGCACATTCATAAGTCCAGTGTTGTAGTTTTTTTTCTTCAGTACTAGGATTTCCACCCAGGGCATTCGCACTGAGCTATATCCCCAGTCTCTTCTTACTTATTATTTTCTCATTAAAGTTGCCCAAGGTTGGCTCAGACTTGCGATCCTCCTGCCCTAGACTCCGGAGTTCGGGGATTGTAGGCATGCGCCACCATGCCAAGTCAGTCCTTTAGTTTGTTTTTTTTTTTTTTGGCCAGTACTTTAGTTTTATGAGAGGGTCTTAGAAATAAAGTCTGAATTTTAGTTTTATTAAACAAAATGTATTCATAAGGTGGGGGAAAGTATTAAGGAGTGTTGCGTTATTATGTATTGTTATTCTTTTATTACGTTCAGTTAGTAACAAAAGTAGACCACAATGGCAAGTTCTATGGCACAGGTAAGGAAAAAGAAATGCTCTGCTTTCTCGTGGTAGTTGCTTGGCAAATCAAATTGCTTGAGGCCAACATAGATTATTAATAGCAACAGATCAATAAGTGTTGCACATATAGCAAAGTGAATATTTAATCGGTAAGAGGATGCAGAGAGAGGAATGAAGTTCCCAGAGATGTCTGAAGTAGCATCAACCGAAATGAAGAGAGAGGTTGGGTATTAGATTTTGAGGGAAACCAGCGAACTGGGTGTAGTAGGCAGTGGGAATTCCATAGCAGAGAGCATCAGGCTTAGTGAGTGTTTTGGGGCTCAAACTCACTGTTTTTCTCTTAAGCTGGGGCCCTTCCCTGGGGCTACAGTTCCCCCGAAGTCTTCTTTTACATTTTTAAAATTTGTCCTAAAAGGGCCTCTTTATCAAATTTCCACAAAGAAACTTTGTGAGACTAGGAGCCATGTGTAGTAAGCAGTTTTTTTTTTTTTTTTTTTTTTGAGACAGGGTCTCGCTGTGCAGTTCAGGCTGGCCTTGAGCTCACTTTGTAGCCCAGGCTGGTCTCGAACTCGCAACGCTCTTCCTGCCTCAGCCTCCTGAGTGCTGGGATTACAGGTGTGCGCCACCACGCCCGGCTCAAGCAGTTTTTATTGGTTGGAGGAGAAAGACGGTGGTCAGAAGCCTGGAGGGAACAGTTGGAGAGTTTGCTACTGGGAGAGACTATCAGATTGAGTAATTCCTGTAACACTGAGAATGGAGGGGCTGGTAAAACTGATAGGGTAAAAGTATTGCAAATTAAAGATGAATTTTTATGGATATAATACATTAGAGGAAAGATAATAGGTTAATCTGTATATTGGCTGTGACGATTGGATCAGAGTAGAAACTATGGAAGTAAAATTGTAGGCATGGATCTGAGAATTAGGATTTTGATTCAGCAAATTTGTGTTGTCTGCCCCTTTTATGCAAGTCATTGTTTTAGTTACTGTAGGAAGTAAAACTTTAGGCATCAGACATTTACTTGAGGGCTCACTATGGTTTGGCCCTGTGCTAGGCTGAGGAGCTACCCAGTGCCCTGCCTTGCCTCACCCTCCCCTCCCCTTCCTTCCCCTTTCTGGCCGGCTCCTCTCCTTCCCTCCTCTTCCTCCCCCCTCCCCTCCCGGTCTTTTCCTTGGTACTGGGGGTTCAGTCTAGAGCCTTTGCACTGGGTTATATCCCCAACGTCTTGCTAAGTTGCCCGGTCTGTTCAGACTCTTGATCCTCCTGCCTCAGGTTCCCTCAGTGCTCTTGAGTCTGAGGCCAGGCCAGTTCAAGGCTTGGGCAATTTAGTCTCACAATAAAAAACATGAAAGGACTGAAGCTGTACCACACACTCACGCACAACACACACATGTACACACAATCCAGCCTTGACAAATCGAATGGAAATGTGATAGGGACAAAAGGATCATGGTAGGTGCTGCTTTATTTATTTTTTATTTTTTTGTGGCAGATCTTGCTACATAGTCCTGCTTGGCCTCAAACTCACAATGCTTGTATCTTATCCTCTCATGTGCTGGGTTATAGTTGTATACCAGTATCCCTGGTTGTATATATTTTGCTTGGCACAGAAGTTACAACTTAACATTTTGCTATTATCTGTTTATTTCTTCTTTGTTTCTTTTTTTTTTTTTTTGTACCGGGAATCGAATTCAGGACCTTGCACCTGCCAGGCAGGTGCTTGTGCCACTGAGCTAAATCCCTGGCCCTTACAACCTTAACAGGTTGTTTGAAGGTTTAGGTTAGTTTATGGGTTAAGATACAAGATCTAGCTTTACATTTCACTTCTTTTACTAGCTCTGGGCAAACTACTGAACCTTTCCTCAAACATAGGCGTCGTTATTTGTAAAATGGGGTTAGTCATTGTATTCATCATGGGTTTGTGTTGAGGCTTACAAGATGCTATATATATAATGTGTAAAATAAAGCAAAGCAGGCCGGCAGGGTGGTGCCTGACTGTAATCCCAGCAGTTGGATAGCAAGGGCAGAAGGACTGCAAGTTCATGGGTACTCTGAGTTATAGAGCAAGTTCAAGGCTGATCTGCACTACATGGGGAGACCCTGTCTCAAAAAGCAGAACAAAAACTAAAATCCAAAACATAAAAATAAAAACCCCAAATATTAAGTAATCTCACTTGGAGGAAGCAGAAGCGACTAGATATCCAGGGCCAGAGCTGTGGATTGAGGTTTACAGTCAGTTGTTGAAATAATCAGATGATGTGAAAATATTGTAGCAGCTAATGAATAGTGAGGTGTAGTGACTTTAGGAGCCACTGACTGTATTTTTCTTTCCTTTCCTTTTCTTTCTTCTTTAGTTTTTTTTCAAGACAGGGTCTCACTATGCAGTTCAGGCTGGCCTTGAACTCACTTTGTAGCCGAGGCTGCTCTTGAACTTGCAGTGATCCTCCTGCCTCAGCCTCCTGAGTGCTGGGATTACAGGCATGTGCCACCATGCCTAACTTGTACTTTCCATAGGAAACCAATAATAGAAGTCACTTTTGAGTACTAGACATTTTCTTTTTGGTTAGAGTTAACCATTTCAATTTTTCTTTGTACTGGGAATCGAACTCAGGACCTTGTGCTTGCCAGGCAGGCGCTGAGCCACTGAGCTACATCCCCAGCCCCCATTTCCATGTTGGAGAGAAGACTGACGATGGAACAAGGGTAGTCACCATGAATGCGTTGTAGTAGCCTAGGTTGAACATTTTGGATAAATCTGAAATCCACTTAAGGTCTGGGGTTTAAGTAATAGTAATGCACCCGTGTATGGTAAGGGAAGATTCAATTAGATAACTAACATTAAGGGGTTATTAATTACGTGTAACATAACAAATATACATAAAACATACATAGATACTGGATGAGGAGTATAAGTACAATGTGCTTACTATAGTCAATAATCTAAAATTATTGCAAAGTAAGCTTATTTCTTTTTTTCTTTCTTTCTTTCTCTTTTGAGACAGGATCTTGCTGTGCAGTTTCAGGTCGGCCTGGAGCTCACTTTGTAGCCCAGGCTGGTCTCGAACTCGCAAGGATCCTGCTGCCTCAGCCTCCCAAGTGCTGGGATTACAGGCATGTGCCGCTACACCCAGCTCAATAAGTTTATTTCTTTAAAAATTCTTTTTGGGGGGCTGGGGATGTAGCTCAGCAGCACAGCGCCTGCCTGGCAAGCGTGAGTTCATGAGTTTGATTCCCGGTACCAAAAGAAAAAAAATTTTTTTTTGTGCTGCTCGGTATTGAAACCACACTTGATTTTAGCCAAAAGGCCGAGAAGTGACCAGTATTAAAACCAAAGCCTCAGAAGTGGCAGGCAAGTGCTCTACCTCTTAGTTATAGTTCCAGCCCACAAATAAGTTCACCCATATTTATTTATTTATTGTATTTTGTTCATTGAGAAGGGTCTCCCCATGTAGTTCAGGCTGGCCATAAACTCACTATGTAGCCTTGCTGGCCTGCCTTAGCCTCCTGAGTGCTGGGATTACAGATGTGTACCACTACCTCAGCTAAATAAGATGAGGTTTTTTTTTTTTGTCTTTTTGAGACAGGGTCTCCGTATGCAGTTCAGGCTGACCTTGAGCTCACTTTATAGCCAAGGCTGGCCTTGAACTCGCAACGATCCTCCTTCCTCAGCCTCCCGAGTGCTGGGATTACAGGCATGCACCACTACGCCCAGCTAGGATGAATTTTTTGTTTTGTACTGGAAATCGAACTCAGGACCTCATGCTTGCCAGGAAAGTGCTGTACCGCTGAGCTATATCCTTGGCCCCCAAATAAGATTAATTTTTAAAAATGTTTTTGATGGTTCTTTTTTTTTTGGTCTTTTTGAGACAGGGTCTTGCTATGCAATTCAGGTTGTCCTTGAGCTCACTGTAGCCCAGGCTGGTCTCCAATTTGCCAAGATCCTCCTGCCTCAGCCTCCTGAGTGCTGTTTTAAAAAGACCAAAAAAAAAAAAAGAGGTTCTATGGATGTATATAATATTTTGGATAGTAAACCTAATATTAAGGTATTAGTGGTATTTCTGTCTTAGTGGTATTTCATTATATGAGATTGCTGGATGTGGTGGCGTATGCCTATAATCCCAGCGCTCAGGAGGCTGAGGCAGAAGGATCACTGTGAGTTCCAGGCAAGCCTGGACTACATAGTGAGACCCTGTCTTAAACCCCATCCCCCCAAAATTACATCTGACAGTAGTTTTAAAAAATTTGTTTTATTTTTGCAGTGCTAGATGCTGATCCCACGGCCTTTGCAATGAGCTATCTCGCCTTTATCTTTAAATTTTGAGTTGTCCAGGATGGACTTGAACTGGGGATCTTCCTGCATCAGTGTCCTGGAGTCCTGGGGTTACAGGCCTTTGCCACCATGCCAGCTCGTTTTTTGATACAACTTGTATTAAATACTGTGCATCAAACTGAATATCACTTGATGGTTGCAATGGAAGTTGCAGTTGTTTTGTAGGTATTCTAATTGCTTTTAAGTGCAATATATACATTCTTTTATTTGTTTGCTTTTCTATGTTTCTCAGACTGGCTTTGAACTTCCAGGCTCATGTGATCCTCCTGCCTTAGCCTACCAAATAGCTGTGGCTGTAGGTGTGTACTGGTGATCCTGGCTCTATACAGTCTTTTAAGTTTTTTAAATTAAAAAAGTGCTTTGTGGAAAGGTGATTCTTTTTGAATACTGACAGGTACTGTCAGCCCTTAATACCTACCCCTGTGAACCTTGTAGGCATGTAGGAGCCAGATAACACACGACTAAAGTAATAATCTTGGGAAGAGTAGGTATTGTGTAATTGCCTGATTAGAAGCATGGAAGAACTAGATTAAGGTAGCAGTTTTGCTCTTTTTTTCCTAAGCTTTCTTATTTGTTTACTAATGTGGGTGGTAGTTCAGTTTTTCGGTAGCCCTTTGAAATTGAGTTCATGCTTTATAGTAGAGTTTGATTGTTGTAGTTTGAGTTTCTGCAATTTTTAAAAATAGTTTAAAAACTCTTTAAAACGAAGTGGTCAGATTTGATATAAACATTCTTTGGGAGACATAATGTTCTGAGATGTGCTGTTTACCAAGATTCAGGACTGGTGGTGTTGGAGAGGGGTGGAATTGGCTTCGCTGAAGTCAGCCTTTGTTTCACGCCAGTGATAATAGAGCTGTAAAATGTTTTTATTCAAACATTTCTGTTTATTATGCAGGCTTACAGTGGAACACCTCTAACTGAAGAAAAGGAGAAAATTGTTTGGGTCAGATTTGAAAATGCAGATTTAAATGGTATGCTTTTAACACTTTTATTTTTCTTTAATCAGATCTTTTAACATTTTTGAACATGTGACATAAATGTTGTCTGGGCTTGACCTGAATCCTGACAGAGAACTCTTACTTTGGTCTCAGATTATTGGTAATTTTCAAGATAAATTCATTTTTCATTAAAAAGGAATGTCACCAACTATAGGTATTTCTTTAGAACTAATACTGTACAAGTTTGAAAGTAAGTATAACAGTGTGTAACCTTAAACTTAGTTAATACTTTCCCTCCCTCTCCCCTTTTTTTTTAGTATTAGGGGTTGAACTCAGGGTTTTTGGACTGAGCTATATCCCCCAGCCCTTTTATGTATTTATCAATTTTGAGACAGGGTCTCACTTAGGTAGCTCAGGCTGTGCTAGAGCTTGTGATCTTCCTGCCTCAGCCTCAGGACAGGTGTGTACCACTTTGCTGGGCTACAACAATTTAAAGATATTACTTGGCCTTATTTTGTATATTAAAATAAGACAATACTTCATTCCATAAAATAGAAGAAATACTCCTATGAGCTTAGCAGAGGAGCTTAACTTTATAGGCAAAAAAAGAGCTAAAGAAAGAACAAGCAACAAAAAGAAATTGGTCATTTTCAAATAACTTTCCTGGTTAGGTTGAAATAGGGAAACAGATAATAAAAAAATAGTTGAACCAGGAGGCTGAGTCAAGAGGATTACTGCAAGTTCAAGGCCCATCTGGGTTAAAGTTCAAAGCTAGCTTTTAGTCCCTGTTTTTTTTTTTTTTTTTTTTTTAAGGAAAAGAACAAAATGAAAAACGATTGCATTCAGAATTGGTTAATAGTAGGTTACTTTAGGTTACATTTTTGTGGTTGTTAATAAGAATTAAAGTGGGAGAATTAAGATCCCCATTGAAACTGGATGTTTAGGGAATTTGTCACCTCTCCTGGTTTCTGAGATGAGGTAACAGGTTTATTTTGATATTGTGAAACTTTTTATGAATGATACCACTTTGGTTTCTTGTCTGATACATTGGGGTCTAGTGTAGCAGCTTAGTCTAAAATAATGATGCCTGTAATTTTTATTTAGTGATAACTAAGTGTTGCTCATCTTAATTTACTTTATAAAGTTTCCTTCTTGGGAATACATGTTTGATGCTTGCTTTGTGGAGGTTTTCTTTCTCTTTTTTTTTGTGGTGCTAGGGATTTGAACCCAAGGCCTTTGCTCTCAGCTGTATCCCCAGGACCCTTCCCTTTTTTTCTAGAAAGGGTCTTGCCAAATTGCCCAATAAATAAAAAAATGTCTTTGAGATAAAACAGCACATGAAGATGTTGAAAAATGAAAAGCGTGGCTTCAGATCAGAAGTTAAAAATAAACTTTAAGGGCCAGGGATTTAGCTCAGTGGCATAAGTGCTGCCTGGCAAGCCCAAGGTCCTGAGTTCAATTCCTGGTACCAAAGGAAAAAAAAAAAAACTTTACGCAGGGTGTTGTGGTGCCCACCTGTAATCCTGGCATTTGTGAGCTGAGGCAGAGGGACCCGAAGTTTGATACCTGCCTGTGAAATTTAGTAAGAGCCTATTTCAAAACTGGAACAAAAGGGCTGGGGGTATAGCCCAGTGTGGAGGCCCTGAGTCCAGTCCCTAGTACTGCATAAACAAAAAACAATTTTCCTGACTTCTTAAAATTTAATACATGTTTGTAGTACAGACTGGTTACATTCATTGTGAGGAGATGTACATGTACATAATACATCTCAATTCTTTTTCTAAATCCCCTCCCAAAAAATAATTTAGAAGTGCAAAATGTGGCTAAGAGTGTAGCTTAGTGCTAGATGCTTAGTCAACACACATGAGGCTGTGAATTCAGTTCCTAGCACCAAAATAATAAATGTAAACAAAAGGAGCACTTCGAGTGTGCATGGAGTTCGGCACTAAGAGTGGATGCAGGAGGTTGTTTGGGCTTTTGGGCTCGCTGTGGCTGGTATGGGGTGGTGGTATGAGTGAAGAAAGCTGTTCCTGAGGACAGGGGTTGGTGCGATGCACCATCCCAGTGGAGGAGGATTGTGCTCCCTGACACCGCGGATGGCCTAGATAATGATGCATTTCACCAAAGTAGGGAACTCTGTGGGAGCATCACGCTTGGGAGGAAATCATCCTTGGAGTGGAATTTGAGCCCCTGAGCCATTTAAAACCTGTGTTGCAGGGGCTGGGGATTTAGCTCTGCGGCACAGCGCCTGCCTGGCAAGCGCAAGGTTGTGAGTTCAATTCCTGCTACTGGAAAAAAACTAAAACCTGTGTTGCCTTAGTGTCTGTCACTGGCAGATCCGAAAGCAGTGGGTGGGATGAGATAGTGTATATGGTGAGAAGAAGAGAGTTTGCACATTAGTCGTGAAGAACTCCAACATCAGAGCTGAGGGTGGAGCTCAGTGGCAGAGTGGGTGCTGCATGCATAAGGCCCTGAGTTCAGATCTGACACACTGCAAAGCAAATGGCATTTTGGAACTAGGTAGGCAAGTAGCTAGCAGACAAGGTGGGGGAGGAATGACCAGAGGGCTTGGTGTTAGGGCAGGCTTAGCCCTGGAAAATCAAGAGGGGAATGGTGTGCTTTGGTTATAGCTGCAGAGGAATATGATAAGATGTACTTGAACAATATCGGTGGGGTTTAATAACTTGGAGATCATTGGTGAGGAGAGTAAAAGTCACCTGGGAGGAAGGCTGCGAGTAGAAACCATTATAAAGTGGGTTTGAGGTGAATGTAGGTAGAGAATGACACGACAGTGCAAACTGCTCAAGAAACTTGGCTGCTAGGAGGAGAGGAGGGTGCCGAGGCCGAGGGAGAAGGACATGGATTGGTTTGATTTAAGAAGTTTAAAAATGTATTGTGCGAGAATATCATGATAAATTACATAAAATGAATGAATGAGGTTTTATAAATCATGTGCCTGTATAATTATCACCTAAAAAATAGAAAGTTGCTACTTAGTTGCTTTTTAATTTTATGTGAGTAGAATTTTTCAGTATAGCTGGGAGTGGTGGTTGCAAGCCTGCAAACCTTATGATGTGGGAAGCTGGGGTGGAAGGACTGTGAGTTTGAGGCCAGCCTGGCTGACAGTGAAATCCTATCTCAAAAAAACAAAAAAGATTTAATATAGTAGTGTTTTGTGTCTGACTTTATTATGTCTGTGAAATTCATCTGTTAGAATGTATAGTAGTAACCTATTCTTTTTCTGTGCTGAATAGTATTTCATCGTATCGGTATATCATACTGTTTGATCAGTCTCCTGTTAGTGGACATTTGGGTTACTTATATCTTTTGGCTGTTCACAAATAATTCTTTTTTTTTCTGTCTTCTTGAGACAGGGTCTCGCTATGCAGTTCAGGCTGGCCTTGAGCTCATTGTGTTGCCTAGGCTGGTTTCCAACTCTCAGCCATCCTCCTGCCTCAGCCTCCTGAGCGCTGGGCTTACAGGCATGTGCCACCACAACCAGCATACCAATAATTCTGCTGTAAATATTTTTGTGCATATCTTTTGGTGCATATGTGCTCAGATTTCTAATGACTATATACCCAGAGTAGAACTATTTGGTCAAAATGTATGTGCATCTGTAACCTAAGTGCATATTACTAAACCTTTTTTTTTCTTTTTTGTATTTTTGAGACAGAATCTCCTCATGTATTCCAGGCTGGCTTTGAATTTGAGATCCTCCTGCCTTAGCCTGCATTGTGAGGATTGCAGTCTTGTGCCATCACACCTAGCCCTAAATTTTTTTTTAAAGTGGTCCTCCTGATTCACATTCAGCAGTGATAAGTGGCTGCTGCTGCTGCTGCTGCTCCTGCTCCTGCTCCTCCTTCTTCTCCTGCCTTTTTTTTTTTTGGTACTGAGAATTGAACATCTATTGTGTAAGCTATCATGCAAGAATATGATCTTCACACTGAGCTATATCCACAGCCTTTTTTATTTTTATTTTGAGACAGGGTCTTGCTAAGTCACTGAGTTGCCAGACGGGTCTTGAGTTTTCTATCCTCCTGCCTCAGCCTCCTGGCATGCTGAGTTTAGGCAAGCACCACCCCCACACTCAGCTGAGTAAACAACTTCTAAGGCACATCTGTCACTGGTTTTAATTAGCACTTCTCTGATTGCAAGTGATGTTGAGGTGTGTTTCCTGTTTACCTTTGAATATCTTTCTTACTGAAGGTCTTTTATGTGTGTCTTCCCTAGTTTTCATAACTGGATAGGTATCTTTCTCATACTGATACTTATTGATTTAGTGGTACTAGGAATTGAACCCTGGGCCTCATACACACTTGGCAAGGACACTAGCACTGAGCTACGTCTCCAGCCTCTGTTGTGTACCCCTCCACCCAGCCTAGGAGTGATGAGTGACATCCCCTGCCCTTTTTAGTTTTGAGATAGTGTCTCACTAAACTGGCCAGGCTGGCCTTGATTTGTGATTACAGCTGTGGCCCACCATGCCCAGATGTGGGTTTTTTCCCCCCTCGTGGTGCTAAGAATTGAACCCAGAGTCTTTGGGCTGAACTACATCCCCAGCCTGTTTTTTTTTAATGTTTTACTTCGAGGCAGAGTCTCATTAAGTGACTAATTGCCCAGGCTGGGCTTGATTTTATGGTCTTCCTGCCTCAGCCTCCCAAGTAGATGGGATTATTGGCATGTACCATCATGCCTGGCAGCACAGTTGTTTTCTTGATTGATATTGTGTCTTTTACAGTTTCTTGATATTGTGATCTTGATATTTCTTGATATTTCTTGATCTTGTTTCTTGATTTACAGTTTCTTGATTGATATTGTGTCTTTTACAGTTGTTTTCTTGATTGATATTGTGTCTTTTACAGTTTCCTCTTTGTGATTTAATTCTAACACAGATACATCAAGAAATCTGGAATTTCATGAAATACATAGCACTGGGAATGAGCCACCATTGCTGGTTATGATTGGCTACAGTGATGGAATGCAGGTCTGGAGCATCCCTGTAAGTATAAATGGGATCGAGCCGCTAAAAACTCCTTCCCCGAGTGGGAGCTTATGTGAAGTCTGGAGAGACGGCCGTACGTCTGTGGTCCTGTCTACTTACTTTATAAATGGCTCTGCTGTTGTATAGCGTTAGCAAGGCTTGGGGAAACGGGGGTAAGTGGCAAGTCAGAGATACTCTCACTGAGTACTGAAGTGGGTCAGAATTGTGCTGATCACATACCCACGAGGGACTGGCCCCTTGCTCCTTGGTCCTTGGTTGTTGGTGCCCTTGATGGAAGATTTCGGTCAAGATATGTACAGTAGTACCCCATGCAGAAGTGTGGGTAGAACTTATCGTAAAGCAGGTGGAGAGTTATGCCTTCACGTGAGAAGGTGGGCGGTGTTGCAGTGACATCTGCGCTGAGTTGGATACCTTTTTATATACACAAAAGTTACTCCTGGGCTGTCAGGAGCGGTGGCATGGGCCTGTAATCATAGCATTTGGGAGGCTGAGGCACGAGGATTGCCTTGAGTTCAAGGCTAGCCTAGGCTACATGGTGAGATCCTGTCTCAAAAAACCAAAAGGAAAGAAAAAAAGAATCATTGATCCTGTGGTTAAGGGAGCTATGGTCATTTTGATGCTTATGGACTCACAACCTTGCGCTTGCCAGGCAGGCGCTGTGCCGCTGAGCTAAATCCCCAGCCCCCTGGAATGTCAGTGTCTTAAAAATGTCTTTCTTGTTTTTTCAGATGGTCAGGGTTCTGCCAGGGGCTTTAATCTTTCTTTTCTTTTTCCTTTTTGTTCTTTTAAGTCTTTTTGAGACTGAGTCTCGCTATGCAGTTCAGGCTGGCCTTGAGTTCATTTTGTAGCCCAGGCTGACCTTGAACTCACAGCGATCCTCCTGTCTCAGCCTCCTGAGTGCTGGGACTACAGGCGTGCGCCACCATACTTGGCAATCTTTATTTTTTCTTTACTTGTTTGGAAGTCATAACCTTTCATTCTTTTTTTTTTTTTTAATCTTTTTGGGACAGGGTTTCCCTGTATAGCCCAGGCTGGCCTTGAACTCACCTTGGCCTCTTGAGTGTGAGGATTATAGGCATATGCCGTCATGCTCGGCCTCAGGGCATTAAAATTTAGGAAGGAAATTTGTGAAAGAAAAAGTGCTAATCTATTTTTTTTTTCTTATACTGGGAATCAAACTTGGGACCTTGTGCTTGCCAGGCAGGCGCTGTGCCGCTGAGCCAGATGCCCAGCCCAAAAGTGCTAATCTAAGTCAAATCTCAGCCCAAGGTGTGAAAGTCTTTAAATAACGTTCCCCTTTCTGGTACCATGGGTCACAGGCTCTGGTCCTCAGGAATGCTTGTGCAGGGATTGGCAGGAACGTACACAACGTCATTGTGCTCTGTGGGGTCACTGTGGGTCCGAAATCTAACGTCATTATAAATGTGTTACACACGGAGCGTGCTGCTTCTGCACTCAACTCTAGTGGGCTGTGCATGTCATTGTAGACCCGCCTTTGTCTCTCAGGGCCAGCTACCTGCCTAATACTATCTCCTAAGTGGAGATTGTTATTTTCCCCATTTTATAGAAGCGTATGGAAAGTTTTTGATTTTTTTTTTTTTTTGGTGTTAGGAATCAAACTCAAGACCTCACACTTGTGAGATAGGGTCTCAGTATGTGGTGTAGCCCAGGCTGAATTTGTAATCCTCCTAGATAGTACCACTGTGCCTTGTTTACCACTCTGCCTCCTTAGAGCGTTTTTATGTTGTTGTTTTTTTTTTTTTAATTTTAATTTTTTTGTGTTTTTGAGACAGGATCTTGCTATGCAGTTCAGGCTGTCCTTGTGTTGACTTTGTAGCCCAGGCTGGTCTCGAACTTGCAACAATCCTCCTGCCTCAGCCTCCTGAGTACTGGGATTACAGGTGTGCACCACTGCGCTCATCTTCTTGATCCATTCACTGGTTGATGGGCACTTGGGCTGTTTTGAAGATTTAGCTGTTACAAACTGTGTCATTGTAAAGTGAGTGTATTTCTCACTGTGGTATGATTCTTTTAATTCTTTCAGGAAGATACCAAGAAGGGAAATAGCTGGGTCATATTGAACCTCTAGTTTTAGATTTTTGAGGAATCTCCACACTGATGTCCATAGTGGTTGCATCAGTCTACACTCCCACCAACAGTGGAGAAAATTCAGTTGTGTAGTTGGATACAAAATTGACACTCAAAAATTAATAGCATTCCTGTACATAAATAAAAAACTCACACAGAGGGAAATTAGAGAAACCACACCTTTCACAATAGCATCAAAAAACATGAAATACTTAGGAATCAATCTAACAAAGGAAGTAAAAGATTTTTAGATTGAAACTTACAGGAATGAAGAGGAGACTGAAAAGGATATCAGAAAGTGGAAAGATATCCTTATTCTTGGATAGGAAGAACCAACATGGTGAATGACCATACTTCCAAAACTTTGCACAGATTTAATAGAGTCTCAACAAAATACCAATAGCATATCTCACAGAGTTAAAGAAAGCCATCCAAAAATTTATTTGGAACTAGAAGAGACCTAAAATATGCAAAAGTAACTCTGGGCAACAAAGACAAGGCAGGGGACATCACAATCCCAGACTTGAAATTATACCACAAAGCTACTGTAATAAAAAGTGTGGGACTGGCAAAAAACAGACCTGAGCATCAGTGGAAGAGATTAGAAGATGCAGAAACAACTCCAGAAAGACTCAGTCACCTTATTTTTGACAAAGGAGCCAAACACCTTTACTGGAAAGAAGATAGCCTCTTTAATAAATGGTTCTGGAAAAACTGGCTTTCCACATGCCAGAGCCTAAAACTAGACCCATATTTCTCACTACGCACTGAACTAAAATCGAAGTGGATCAGAGATGGCAATATAAAACCAGAAATACAGCTGAAGTACATGTTAAGACCCTCTCAAACAAAATAGAGAAAAACAGAAATATAAAATCTGCTGAAAGAGAGAATAGGTAGAACTCTTGAAGACATAGGTGTAGGCAAAATCCTGATCACATGGGAAATGTTACAAAGAATTAACAATTTGGATCTCATCTTATTAAAAAGCTTTGCACACCAAAAGAAGCCACCAACAGAGTGAAGAAATCACCAACAGAGTAAAGAGACAACCATAGAGTGGGGAAAAAAATTTTTTTTTGAGTCAGGGTCTCACTATGTAGTTCATGGTGGCCTTGAACTCACTGTGTAGCCCATGCTAGCCTCGAATTTGCAGTGTTCTTCCTGCCTCAGCCTCCTGAGGGCTGAGATTACAGGTGTTCAGCACCACATCTGGCCATAGCTGTACCTTTTTTTTGCCCATTAAAAAGTTCAGCCAGGTATAATCTGGGAGGCTGAGGCAAGTGGATTACAAATTGGAATCGGTCTGAAACAAACAAAATAAAACAAAAACAAAAACAAGATCTAAACTCCTTGAATTTTGTACTTGACTTGGTTAGACAGTTGGATTAGGATTTTGAGATCAGTGTGGGTTAAATAGAGACAGCCTTTCACAAAACAAAATAAAATAAAACAACACCCTCCCCACCCCCAAACAAACATTTAGCTGCATCCCAACCACTGCAAAAATTGAATTCTATTTATTTTTAACTTTTAAAAGTTTTATTGCTGGGCGTGGTGGCACACCCCTGTAATCCCAGCACTCAGGAGGCTGAGGCAGGAGGATCGTTGTGAGTTCGAGACCAGCCTGGGCTACAAAATGAGCTCAAGGTCATCCTGAACTGTGTAGTGAGACCCTGTCTCAAAAAGACCAAAAAAAAAAGGAAAAAGTTTTATTAGTACATGTTTTCAGTATTAGCAGTTTACAGTCGTCTTGGGTGGTGGGTACAAAGTACATACTATAGCTTGTTTCTTTTTTTTAATCCTTCCCCTCCCCAACATTGAATTTTAAAAGCCGCAGCAGAACTGTAAATATAGTGATTTTGTTTCTTACTATAGTCAGACCTTGGTACTTGAGTGCTTTGAGACACGCTGAACTTGGTCCTCCACGCATTTTGATGTGAGAATTTTGCCCAGGACTCCCACATTGTTTTGGACTCAGTGTACGAGCTGGAACTTGTTGATGTCGACCTTCCAGACAAAACAATTTGTTTGATGCTTGTCAGTTTTGGTTCTCATGGTGGCTGCAAGAGCCAGCCAACTACTACTGCTGTACTAAGGTACCAGTGTGTAAGAAAGGGGCGGGAGGGGCAGACTTGGTTGGAAAGGTAGTGTGTGATTTCTAAAATGAGCTGTAACTGGTTGCAACAAAGTGCAGGAAGTGTGTGTCTTTTTGGAAGCCTGTTGTCATTTGCCACTGTAGATCATGTAACCATGTTTTTGTAGTTTGTAGAAATATCTGGGCTACATTGAAATTAAAATAATTTTAAAGAGCTGGGTGTGGTGGTATGCACCCTGTAATCCAGCACTCAGGAGGCTGAAGCAGGAGGATCGCTGCAAATGTGAGGTCAGCAGTCTCAAAAAGATTTTTTTAAAAAGTAGTTGGTTCTTCATTAAAAAATCTTTTAGAAAGAATATCTAGTTGGAGGGAGTTATTTATGACAGTGAGTATATTTTAGATATTATACAGTAATTGATTGTCCTTACTACTTTTACTTGGGTGCTAGAAATTCAACCCAGGGTCTTGCACATGCTAACCATGGCTCTACCTCTGAGCTCCACCCAGCCGTAGGGTCTTAAATTTTCAGGGAGGAGATGTGAGTTGTGGGATGAGAAGTTCACCTTAATCCTTTTTTTTTGTTTGTTGTTTTTTTTTGCGTTTGGTGCCGGGAATCGAACTCATGATCTCCTGCTTGCCAGGCAGGTGCTGCGCTGCTGCGCTATGTCCCTGGCCCCCCCGCTTTTTTCCACCTTAATCTTTTAACTATCAGTGGCTCACTGAAGATCTTTTAGTAACAGATTTTTTTTTTCTTTTTGTGATGCTGGGGATTGAACCAGGGTCTCATGCTCGGCACCTCTGTCAGCAGCTA